ATGAGGTAGATAAAAGTAAGTTACTTTTACCTCATCGGAGCTGAACAACAGCAGGGGCAGAAGTACCGGCAGTTGATTAAAGGCATTGTCCTGACCACCGATACCACCCTGGCAAGGCAAGGGCTGCCTTATGGAACCAGGTCAGAGGACACTGATTTCTCTATTCAACTCTGAGGCACTACTTTGTAAATGACACAATCATTTTGGGGTACAAGAGGTGCTTTAAATGTGGTAACATTATATCATTTCAGCTATAATGATCATAATTACTTATTTCTTTTAATCACAACCCACTTAACCACTTTAGTACAGAGGACTAGTTCAAGGAGTTTAATTTTCATTCAACATCTAATCTTTGTGTTTACTGAAACCCTTCATGGGCTTTGTTTACTGTCTGCTTGCTGGCCTGGACGTTTGATCTTGCAAGACTAGATCAGACAGGGTCAGATAAAATACTGATTACTAGAATAAACCAGGCTTGGGGAAGTAACACTGATTTTAAAAATCCTCATTTCTCCCAGCTTTTTAATATTGTGCAAAATAAGCTCAAATAAACAAATAAAATTAAGACAACTAGCAATCAGGGGGTTCTTGAGCAATAATTGAGAAAAAGAAAGTGATGGGAATAATTTTGCTTTTGGGCCAAAACTATGGGGTTTAGTTAGGTCCATTCTTTCTAGTGGTATTATTTTATGACACAAATAATTTCATAATATCCACTAGTATTTATGTGAACCTTCAATGACCCCTTAATTCTTGGAACATATTAAATATTTCTGATTGACCTGACCAAGACAGCAGTTCATTTTGCCAGATGAAAAACACTTTAGATATAAAATTATTTTCTTTTAACTTATTAATTTTTAATTAAGAAATATTTAAAATATATGAGCCCTTTTTGTTAAGGCACTATCGTATTGTTACAAAATCCCCTGCAAAAGTAGGTTGCCAGAAGAGTGTAATTCCCCTACTTATGGCAAAAGAAGGTTGCCATAAGAGTATAATTCCTATTAGTATGGCATACATAATTCCCCTTACTTTCATAGAAATGGTGGGGAAAGTTGTTGTCTAAAAATAATTAATGCAAAAGAAGAATTATGTTAAAAAATAAGTGCTTTATTAAAATGTACAAACCTTATAAAAGAAAAATGGGCAAAGCAAATCCTACATAATCGCAAGAATTCTTAAAAATAATGTTGTAATAGCACAAACATTTTTAAGTCCTGGTGGATTATTTTTGTATCTAAGACTAAAACTGCTACACATTAAACAGCTGTTAATATTGTTGGTTTTTTTTCACTTTTACACAAAATGTACTTTTTTTTCCTTATACTTTGGAGCTTATGAGCTCCACATCACAAAATGTAGGCCAGAAGAAATGATAGTATGAGATGAACAGCAATAACAAAACCATGCTGTCTGGAGCAACCCACTACTTCATCCACTCACTTCATTTTCTTCAATATCAAAAATTCGTGGGGTGCAGGTTCATGGTTCTGGACCTTAAAACCAGAGTACACAAATTCTGTCTCCCCATCTACCCCGAATTAACACTAATGTTAACTCAAATATGTCTGTGTCAACCGTGATTGTCTTTGAAATTAAAGAAAAAAGATAAACAGAATGTGCTTTGCTGTGATCTGGGGAAAATAAAGTTAACATGCTAAGCCAAACCAACCTAGGACTTTTTAAAGAAAAGTGTAAATAGTTTAGCTTTAAGAACAACAAATTCAAAAAATGCACATTAAAATGTTTACTTCAAAATTTAGACAATTCCATTTGTATATAGTTTTTACATCTGTTTTTAATGATATCAAATTATTGATTGTTCATTTTTCTCATATTTATTTAAGCATTAACTATAGAATTTGCAATATGATCTTTTTTTTTAATCCTTCCAGTAGACTTTTATTTTTGCCAGGTTTTAGTCATATTTACTTTGATCTTTCAGAGTATATAATTATTTTACTGTTTATTTATTTCTATGAGAAGAGAAAAAAATTTTGACCTAGGAGATCTATATGTGGCAATTTGTAACAGAATCACATAGCTTATGTTTAGGAAATCATGGTTTTGATTAAGAAGCAACCATTTAGTTCCCACTGTTTTATTAAAACAGACATTAGCAGATAATAGGAAACATATTTAACAATGTAGCCTGCATTTAGTTTGGAACATCAGTAAGTTAGTCAGAGAGTTTCTTCTCTACTGACTGTCGGCCATGGTACATGTAAACAGGTAACTCTGGGCTGAAAGGGAGGTGGGAGGGGTTGAGGGAGGAAAACCAGAAGGAGGGACATGGACCCCTGGGCTCTCAGGAAAAGCCCTAAGGTTGAATTCTGGTTTTGCTACTACTAATTTCCTTCTTTTGCTTTTCTTTTTTTTTTTCAGTTTGAAATGTATGGACACAAACAAATCTTACACACAGAATCATTACTTTCTCATGAGAAATGGATTCTACTAGATAGAAACTCCCACAGCAGCATCTATTCACAGCATACAGCTTCCATCGAAGAAACGTGCCCGTGTGGGTCCAACACTTCCTTTTCTCTAGGGGTCGAAAGTTAATAAAACACTCTTCTCTGGGTGTTTGTTTTCCGTACACCATTATACCTGTCATGAATTCTTTGTTTTTCCTCCCACTCCCCTGGCTGATGAATCAACACCACTTGAACTGTTTTACGGCAGCTTGTGTTTACTTCACACATACCTTAACCTTCCCTTTTCTCTTCCCACCGACACATACACATGCACACACACACTTTTCAGCAGGAATGACTAGCTCCCTCTCTTTGAATAGCATGTGTACACAGTGTCTGGCAGCCTCTTCAGGTGTGTGGATCCTTGACCTCCTCATGAAATCAAGGTCTTAGTCTGCTTTTATGGCACTTGAAGATTTAACTGTGCATTTACTATCCTGAGGAAAAAAAACAACTTGAAGAATTGGATTTCTAAGAAAGAAAAGAGAAAAGTGGAAGCCATAAGTGTTAATATGTGTGTGAACGTGCACACACATGCATTCTGTAGTGGCAATTCAGAAAACACTAGAGTGAAGGGTTTCCAGTCTTTCTAAATCTGGAATTATACTCCAGACTATTAAAAGAGGACACTCTCTTCCTTTCTCTTAAACAGCAAGTGAATAGGATTTAACAAATGACCTTGAAGCTGTGTGATTCTTTTGATTTTTAGCCAAAGAGGGTATGTTCAAGAATGTTAACAATCTTATTTTAAAAGAAAAACTTGGAAATAACACTTAGAGAAAAGAAATCCTTCTGAACTACACAATCATGTCTTATAATGTGAAGGCGATAAACACTGTGTCCTCTACAAGAGTTAATATTAATAACAGTTTCAAGTGCCCAGACCAGAATCTAAAGGGTCCTAAGAATTTTAGAATGTTGTAAAGAAATAGATCTTAACTCAATTTTTAGTAAATTTAATTTCTCTTGGGTAGTTCAATATCATGACTCTCCTTATAAATTGTGTATTTAGCATAAAATGCTCTCACTCCTTTGTAATCAGAAGTATGCCACCAGTGCATGTGAAGCTCATTTCCTCAAAAGGTAACCTTGTAAACAAGCTCCCAAATCCTCAACAACCGACAAGCTTTACTTCCACACTCTGTCTCCCGAGAGGAAACCTGCAGGTAGTAAAACAAATAAATCCATCCTTTACTTTTACCTACCCCCCATAAATGTCATTTGGCCTTCAGATGGGGGCAGTGAATTGACGGAAGGCTATGAGAACCTATAATAAAACATGATGGATGATGCCACAATTGTGCAAAATTTGGACTGGAAGACCCTCAAACATCAAGCTATTATGTTACCCCAAATTCCCCAAATCACCTCGGGGGCTGGTCGTATTTGAATCAAACAGCATTTGAACTGCGGTGAGAGCAACATAATTTTTCCAATACTGACATATTTGCAAAAGCAAGATGTCACAAATATATTTAAAGGGATGGATGGTTTAAAAATAGCATGGCATTTATTATATAAGGGAATTGTATATTCAGGACCAGACATGATTCCACATATAGGGTCAGGCAAAAGTAATGCCTGCTTGAGTGTGGTTGGTAGAGTAATAATGTGGGTGTAATAATTTATAAGTTTAATTTGAATGTTTCACCTAAAATGTCACATGGTGTGCTTGAGTGTGATATTGTTACGTTACATGCTTAGGATTTTGTAATAAAAGATTTTGTAATAAAAAACGGGGTGTTATTGGTGCTGGACCCTGTATAAGACATTACTACCAGCATGACTACTACTATTAATTATTGTTATAGTATGATAGCTATTAGTTAAGAGATTGCTTTGTGCTGATATTAATTTATTTAGTCTTCACAGATAGCCAGCGGCTTCGATGCTTCTATTTTTTCACTTTTCAGATGAGGAGACTGAGTCTTGGTGCAGTGAAATAATGTGTTCCAGCTCACACAGCTAGCGAATGGAAGACCAAGGCTTGAACACAAGTCTGCCTGAGTGCAGAGGCCCTTGGCTTCAACCACCGCTCTAGAATCGTCTCCAAATAAACACAACATCAGAGCTCCATTCCTGACCAAAGGTCTCCTGGTACCACAGCAGTGCTTCTGGTGTGTAATTTATACTTAGGTGTTGATTTAACCTAGGATGACTGCTTTTAAATTTCCATTAATATATTAGTAGAAATAATTTATTGATTAGATTTTTAAATAAACATGCCTATGTGAAATAAACCATTTCAAAATATTTTGAAAGATCTTGACCTTCACAAGGATGTCCTGTGAAAACATAAACTTCATATATTATGCTAAGAATTTTACTTTTAATTCTAATACAATCTTAGTTTTAAGGAAGCCAATTTGGATCTCAATGGAAATATTAAGAATCTCATCTGTATAAAAATTATATAAAATTTTCTTTAAAAATTATACCTAAAGTTAGCATAAATTCCAGAGCATCAGCAATTCATTGGCCTAAGAAATCAAAAACAGGCTTTAAAAATAAAAAGTTTACCTTTAATCTTCTTGTACTTCTTATACCATCGCCCAAACTCCTGGCACTTGGTTGCTGACACGTTGGCATAATATGTGCTATTTACAATGGATGAAATCATACTCTGTAAACAAAAAAAAGTTGTTTTTCATAAATACAAATACTCCTTTTTAGGGACCAGAAAGGACACACGACAGCCCACAGCAATCTCCTTTGTCTTTTAACTTTCAAGGAGTCACCCTCCTGCAAACCAAATGATTAAACATTAAATAGAATTGTCTACATTCACTATCCCTTTAATGTATACTTATATGATGACTGCTTTCTCCAAAACACCAACCCAGGGACCACGTCAAAGATGGAGGAGGCCGGACACACACATTAGACACATGGGGAAAGAACGGTTGGGGTGTTTAGGAGCCCGAGCAAAAGGTGAGACTGGGAGCTCCGGCACCTGTCATCCAGATAATGCCTTTCAGATGTGTCTGCTCCTTTCCAACTGCAACGAGCTTAGAGAGCCAAGAATCAGAGAACATCCGTGCTACACACTGCAGAACAACATTTAGGGAAATCAGTTAAATTAATATAATTTATAGAAACGTGTGATTAGCACTTGTGTGAAAATTCACCAAATGAAAAAATTAACAGTGCTATTTTAGAGCAGGAGGAACCAAACATAACACTTGTACTGTGTTTCAACCAGAAATGAATCAAAGCTGAAACTTTCTGAGGGCTTCAGTACCTGAGTCCTTCCCGCTCTTCATCCTCCTCTTCCTCCTCAGCTATACCCCTTAAGCTGACTTGTTTGTAATTTTGGGGAAAAGGAAAGAGGAGAGCATCACCTGATTTACAAATGGAAAATTAAAATTATAATCACACACCTTGAATTAAAATTTCTACCAAGATATGTTTGCAGTCAATATGGCGTGCTTGGACCAACATTTGCAGCAGATGTTAACTTAAACCTGAATAACTATGGTAGTCCACGTGCATGTTTTGTAAATAAATTTTATTGCTGCAAATTCTGTCTGAAAACAAATGGACATAAACAATTCAAGAGATCCAAACGACCTATATTAGGTTGTATATCCTGCCTTGAAATTGTGCCTTTCTTAAAAAAAAAAAAAAAAGTACCCTAGATAGGGAGCAGTTGAGCAAAATCTTAGAACTCCGAATGGGATTTCTACAAAATTGCTGAGATTAAAAAGATAACAATAAATCAAGGTAATTGCAAATTATTTACCAGGAGGTTCAAATGCCAGCAAACAGTCCTGCATAGTCCACCCATTTGAAACAATTCCCTCCATGAGCGCATAGTCTCCCTCGTTTTCAATCAGTATGCAGTACTGGTGGAGAGGGGGCTCCTAATTCAATTCACAGAAACCTCTTCGGCCCTTTGTACATAGCAAATGGCTATCCTCCCCTAGTTAGTGATCTCCAAATGACAATTCTGTTCTCTGAGGGGAGATAATAAGGAGAACCCTTTTAATCTAAGGATTTGAGCACAGCCTAGGAACGCATAGAGCACGTATCACCTACCTCACAGAACTTTGGGAGCCTCACCTGCTGCACTGGAGGATCAGCAGGATCCTGCTCTTCCAGAGGCAGGGTTCTGCTTTGTATTTTATTGACAAGGGAGTAAAGAAGTCTCCTGACTAGCCAGACTAGTTCCCTCTCCGGCTGAGCTGTTCTCTCTGTCCTAGTCTGTGAGACCCTTGAGGATAGTGACTAGAGCTGTTTCAGTTTTTTTCTCTCTCATGTCTAACACAGTTCTGATGTGGGATATCTGAGTCACTGAAATATAACAGATGAAAAGGGGCAGAGAAGAAATTTTAAAATGCCAAACTGAAATGTCATAATAATGAAAAATTTAACATGAAAGCAGCCCAGTAATAGATGCAACAGCCATGCTGGGGTATGTGAATAATGGCAAATGTACTTGTCTTCTCCCTATGTTGATTGTATGAAAGGCATAGACTATGCAGCCGAGGCAGGAGTCAGAGCTAAACCTTCTATTGCAAAGTGATTTAACATCCACAGCAAAAGGTAAGATCAGAAGCTCCTGCATTCATCATCCAAATAATGCCTTTCATATGTGTCTGTTCTGTTTCCAACTGCAGACTAGAGAGTCTAAAGTGCAGTGTGTCTCAAGCGCTGCCTGGAGCTGTACCTCAAGTCTTCCTAGCCCTTAAGACCAGGCCATGAACCATATATTCTGGCCCCAGATAATCCACATTTCCCTCACCTCCTGGTCTTACTACTCAGTTATTGCTCCAGATGCACCTTCATTGACACTGCACAAGGCCACTGTCAATCTATGTGGCAAGAGAATGAACATCTGAGCTTCTACGGGCTCTGTCACCAGGTCCTATACTAGAGTCACATTTGCACTCATTTAAAAAGGGGTTGGCTACACAGAGACTCAGTCAGATTTATTCTTTCCCTCAGATAATTATAAATCAGTTTCTATCTTTACTGATCACAGAACAAAAATAAACAGGGTTAAGCTATGAACTGAGCCAAGGAACTATGAATAGAAAATAAAGAGAGCTTCCCAGATAATCAGACTAGTCACTAAAAGATCTCTTCAAATTTGTGGCAAATTTTATTCCTATTAATTCTCTGCAGGTCTTTACACACAGCTGACACTCAAAGTTTTAGTGATATACATTTTTATAATTCAACATGAGAGAGCTTTGAAAACAGAAGAGACACATATTGGGAATATTTTAGATGAAAGGTCAGGTTATGTCTTATTATTTTAGTTTCAAACATGAACTTTCCCTAATCCTAAATTAGGCTATCACATTCTCATAGCCTGAGTCTGAATTACTAGGCCTCACTAGAACATTCTGGACATATACTGCAAGGTCATCTTAATGTTAATGCCGATTTTTTTTAAATCAAAACTTAATTCATTATAAACTAAATAAAACTGACAGGGGCTAACACAGACCCAGCACCTGCTGACCTTGACTCTACAAGGAATAATGTTCTCCAGAGGCCCTGGGTGCAGAGAAGCTGTATCCACTGCATCCACTCTACAACCACATTTTTTGATACTTTAATGTCACTGAAAATTGGGATGCACCTTACAATCAACAGCATGTTAGATCTGATGAGATACTGTTGCTGCAAAATGGATGACTAATGATTAAAACCTCTCCCACCTACTACCCTGCCAAAAAAGATCTAATTTCCATTTACCGCTTTTAAAAATATGTGTATAATTTTGTAGTTTATGTTGCTCTTTTATATTTCCCAATCATTCTAGAGCAACCACACAACTGGACTTTTAGGGTTCCCACACCTTTTTGATAAATGAACAGGAACTTTTTCAATCTAGAATGCAACCAAATCCTGAACTTCCATGTCCATATGAAGCAATGCTGATACGAATAACCCAAAAGATATGTGTACTGTTATTTGTAATACTTAAACAAGGGGACGACGTTTGCTGAGGGTTCCAGGAAAATGACATTGCCTTTACTAAGTTCATCCCATTCTGCACGGGGACAGGCAATGAGGAAGAATGGGGAGCACACTTGTACAACAAGGAATGCGGGCAGTCTCCTCACGACACTCAGTCACAGCCATAAACACCATATGGACAGGGATACAGACACGGTGACTTTATGAAAAAAATATTATGTACTAAAATAAATAGGAAGGCTTAACATGTCTTCCCAACTACAGATGGGTTTCAGAGGTTTCAGACTTCCTTGTCATTAGTCATGAGATTTTAAATACGAAGATTGTAGACAGAGGTGTAAAATCCAAGTTTCCTCATTTGCAGCCACTCTGCCACATCACTTGCCACTTGTATCTTCAAGTTATTAAAAACAAACAAACAAACAAACAAAAAAATAAGGGATCGGGGACATCAAAATATACCAAAATCAGTTACTACAAAGTTAACTAGCTCATTTGAATTTGCTCTAAGCCAAATTGTAAGGGGATATTATAATATTATTAGTACTTATTAGAGCTCAATAGACTAAGTAGCTTATCTAAAACTGAAATTTCTTTCAGGTCCCTCAGACAAATTTTATGCTCACGCATGTTTTTTACTAGCCTGGAGAATAGATGTCGCCTGTGACTATAAGTATGCTTCCCATTTTCAAACTGAGGGCCCGAAGCTCAGAACAAAGTGTCTTGTCCAAAGTCAAACCACTACAGAAGCACTACAAGGAGGCACAACTACAGCCGCACTCTGTCACAGGCATCTTCAGAAGGAAAGCTAATGAGCGGAAGGAAGGACATCTTCACCATCACCCCTACCTGCTAGCACAAGCTCAACAGTGGATACTGCCACCAATTCCTAAATAAGGTGACAAAAAAATAAAGCAATGGTATTTGGGCCCCTTCTATGAGTCAAGCAAGCTTAGAATCAGAACAGAGAAAACTAAGATGTCTGAAGGTCATTTAAAATGTAATAGGAAAAGCAAAATGATAAACATAAATTAAGATTATTTGTACAATATACTTAGAGAGGGCTGAGTGGCTGCTTTTCTTCCCCCAAAAAGAAAGATAAAATAATTAGATATTTTTTACTGCATTCCTGTTGACTTAGTGAGATTTGTGAACAGGAATGTTATACTAAGAGTAGTAGCTACCCTGCAGGTACACACTACAGTTGCCACAAAAAAAAAAGAACATTATAAAAACAAAGTGAGTGGTTAGATATTCTATCAGTGAAAACGTCCTGAGTGAGAAGAGTGTCAGAGTGGGGAGAACTGGCCATTTTTTCCATGTTAACATACAAGGTAAAGCACTACACAGGCAATGAAAATAACACACATTTTTTTTGCTCATTTTTAGCATCTTCACTCTGTTTTGTGATATGCTAAAAACACACACAACATGAGATTATAATGCTACTTCAATTAAGTATGGTAAAGAAATAAAAACTAATAGGGAGAATTACTTTGTCATGAAAAATTCATTTAATGTCCTTTAGCAGCCTTCCACTGACCCTTTCTATCCCCATTCCTGAGCCACACAACCATCGAAAACTCTTCCCATTCTAGTAGAAAGAAACCCTTTTCTGAGCTTTGGAGAATAAAAAACTCCATCTGAGAGCTTCCCCCCTAAACAGCTGCTGAACGGCTTGTGGATCTAATG